TCTGTGTTGACCACCCTTCATGATGCCATACATGGACAGAAACAACTTTGACTGACTGGCCAGTCCATCGGTCTTATTAAAGTAAAAGCACTCTTACTCTGGGACTTACCGCCCAGCAGATCCTCTATTCAGCTAACTACAGGAAAGGTCCTCACCGGCCTTTTTCGCACAAGAGAATTGCGCAAAGGCGCAAAAATGACTCTCCCGCTGAGCTGCGAGCTTAGCTGCGAGCTCTTGCCAAAGTGAATCCGAAATGGATGCGTCCGAGGCTTCTACGCATCGCAAGAGCCCAAAGAGGCGGGGGAGGAAGAGCACAGTTCTTGCCCGGTTCAAAGAGGCATTCTCCGACGTCCTTACGGATCTGGAAGACGACGGCGTTGCCTGCGACGTCTGCGGCAGATCCGACAGCTGGGACGAAGACGGTGAGTGTTTTAAGTGACACTGCTTCCACTTCACCCCCTGGCACTGTGCGAGTTTGTCGTGTTGTGTTGTGTTTGGTTGCTGCGCTGATCAGTCATTCTACTGTGCGACGGGTGCGATGCAGCTGCACACATGCGGTGCTATGGCATCTCCCAGGAGGATGCCGACGCCGATCAGTTCTTTTGTGCGTTTTGCAAAAGGCTGAGGGAGGACCCAACGACCTGCGGGCAGAGGGAGTGTGTGGTGTGCCCGCGGAAGAACGGCATGATGGTGCCGACTGAGGACGGCCGGTGGACTCACGTCATGTGTGCCGTCTGGTGAATGAAAAAAGGAAACAAAGAGGCGAGTAGAAAGGCGCCCAGCTCGTGACTGTTGCGTTGCGCGTTGCCTTGTGTGTGTGTCAGGGTGCCCGAGATGATGGTTGATGTCACCAAGAAGAGGGGCAGCGGCATCGCCAACATCCAGCCCGCCCGCTTCACGGCAGCCTGTCAGATCTGCAAGGAGGAGGGCATCGGCGCCATCGTCCAGTGCGCCGCCCCCAAATGCTTCGCAACGTTCCACCCCATCTGCGGCCGCCTCATGGGGTCAGTGGGCTTTTGCAATGGCGATGTCTCTGTTGCATTGTGTGTGTGTCCTCCGTCCATTCCTTCAGTTGGGGCCTTGATTTGGTTATCCAGCTGGGCGCTGAGGGCACTGAGGCAGACGAGGGGGGCGAGGGCGACTACAAGGCCTATTGCCACAGACACGCATCGCTCGTCTACGCCCCCCACACGGCAGCGGCAGCAGCAGCGGCGGAGGAGATCTTCATTCCCCTCGAGCACCGGTCCACCGCCAAGAAACACGCCCTGCTAAGAGTATCCCATCTTCTGCGCCGCAACAGGACGATATGCAACGAGGTCCACAAGCTGCACCAAGAGGGGACGCCGTGGGCTCTGCTGACGAGCGAGCGGCTGCTGTTTGAGTGCCACAAGAACCTGGCGGCCGTCAGCCGCGAGTGGGCGACCCTGCAGAGGACACAGCCGCCGAAAGTGACGGCCATCCCTGATCTGATTGGTCAAGAAGATGACGGGGAGCAGCGAGATGGAGAGGGAGAGTCAGATGAGGCGGTGGATGAGAGGGGAACAGGCGACATGGTAGCCGACATGGATGAGGTGACTGTTGCCAATGGGACCAGAAAGGCCGTGATAGACAAAGCAACGAAGAGCATCGCTCCTTGATCAGTCCGTGTGTTGAGGTCGTTCGTTCAACCGTGGGTCTTTTCTCATTATCGTGATCGATTTGGGCAGGCAAAAAGAAAACAACTCGGAGGAACAGATGGGATGGATGGCAATGGGGACACTCACTCACTCACCCACTGGTGCCCTCTCCCCCTCTCACTCAACTCAGCCCGTATAGATGTGGTGCTGCTCGGTGTTGTTATCGTCACCGCAGCCCGCCGCCGTGCACATCTGCTGCCATAACTTCCGCACTCCTGCACACACACACACACACACGTGTTCACTCACCCATGCCCCTATGAATCAGAGAAGGAGGCACAATGCAATGCACCGTCCGTCTCTCATTCCCCACTCCACCCACCCTCCACTCACGCCATGTACTTCTCACGTACCTTCCACAATCCAGCAGCCATGTGTGTGTTCGCCGTTCCTATCCATCTGTCTCGGCACGCTGCTGCTCCCTCCCGCCACGTCTGCCGGCTGCATGCCCCAATAGCGTGGCATCGTCTCACCACCCGCCCTCGTCTGCGGCGTCAACACGGGTCGCACCTCACTCACGCTGGCAGTGTTGTTGGAAGCGGGTGTGTGCCAGGGGTCAGTGGGCCACATGGGGGCATCAGATTGATACGCGTAGCGCACCACACGGGGCGGGCGGGACGACGGCGCAGCGTAGTAGCGGACGTAGGAAGTGGTCTGAAAGGCGGCAGGGGGAGGATGGAATACTGCAGCGGCAACAGGGGCGGGCGGAGGAGTGGGAACCGGGTAGGGCGCCTGGAAAGTGGGTGGGATAGACACGGGAGGGAACACGGCACCAGCAGGACCAGCCACATGGTGTGCGAATCGGGGAGTGGACGCATAGCGTGCTGCGAGGGCAGGGAGGGGAGTCATCGCCGGCGGCAGGGGTGACAGGGGCGGCAGGTTGTTGGTGTTGTTATTGTTGTTGTTGTTGGAGGCACTGGCAGCTGGGCCGGTCGTGACCATCCTGACAGGAAGCGTCGATCGGGAAGGCGCCACGCTCGAACCCTCGGGACCGTCACGAGCAGACCACTGACGCCTGACACAAGAGAGCCGGCATTGGTCATTTTGCCACCTTCCCTTCTGCCCTCGTGTCTCTCTCCCCGTACCTGGATTGCTGGTCCTCCTCGTGCAGCCTTTGTTGCTGGTCGGGAGGGCTACCAAACCCACGGCCAAGCGGCCCGCCATTCCCACTCTGGCGCGGTGAGTCCCTGCCCCCTCTCGTGACCACGCCGATCTTGACGCCCGGCGATCCGTTCTCTCTGCGATACACAGTGCCGTTGCCGATAGACCCTTGGGAAGAGTAGTCGCCTGCACAACGTCGGAAGCGAGACACATGTGTACAATAAGAAGCCGTCCCCTTCTTCGGTGAGTGAGTGAAGTTTGTGAGCTCCTTAATACCTTCTTGGTTGAGGCTCCCGTGGTTGAAGCTGCCGTGGTTGACGCTCCTGCTGGCGGGGCTGATGGAGGTCCCCTCTCGGTTGACCTGCGGCGGGCTGCTCCGCTGGTACTGGTCGTGCACGAGCCGGAGGGCCATGGTCATGTCGCCCCCGGCGGCCCGGACGGCACGCTGCACTATGATGTGGTCAAGGGTGGGGAAGGCTTGCAAGACCACACGGAAACACGCATTCTCAATCTCTGACAAATGAATGGATCGATCAGACACAAAGACAGTTGAGGTGAGTGTGCGTCTTGTGTCTTCTGTGTCTGTCTTCTGACCATCTTGCTCATACTGCTCCCTCAGAGCTTCTGCCGTGGGCATGGAGGTCTGTTCGGGGGCGGGTGGGTCAGCAATGGCAGGCAAGGGGCTGCGACGGCCGGTGTTCAGCAGCTGCTCGGGACGCCCTGCGCGACGACCAAGCCTGACCATCCATCCATCCATCCCGCAGACCAAGCGACGTGTTTTGTTGTCCCGTATCGTGCGTACCTCTCCTGCATCTGGTTGAGCATCCCATGTGCCGCATCGCTGGTCTCGCGGATGCGCCTCATGTAGCCTTCAAAGTGCTCACCCGTCCACTCCCCGGTGAAGCTCTCCGCCCCCTGCTGCGGCGCCTTGTCGCTGGCGTTGCCATTGAGAGCCACCGCTGCCTTGGGCAGTGGAGGAATCGGCGGCCCATTGGTGTAGGGATAGTGGAGATGGGCGTAGTGCGGGTTGACGGCCTGTCTCATCGCTGGCATCGGTGGCGTGGGCAGCGGCGGGTGCGGGGCGGGCACAGGACCGCCCATGGTGTTGTGCCCCACCATGGCTGCTGGGTTTGACGGGTGGGTTGCGTGAGTCGGCACTGGAGGCCCGCCGCCCATCTGGAGCGTGCGGGAGGGCGTGCTGCCCGAGTCACGACCGTTGTCCTGATGGAAACACAGAGAGAGAGGGAGAGAGGTGTGTTTGGGTGGTGGTGGTGATGGTGCTTGTTGTGGTGTCTCTGAGGGAGGGCTTACGTGTCCGCCCTGCTGCTGGTGGGGGTGCATGTGGTGCCCCTGGTGGTGTCCGCTGCCGTGCTGGGCATGCATGGGTGGCCCGGGGTGGTGCGTCTCATCCGTCGGCGCACAGAGGAACGGCGTCGACGCGAACGGACTCGACTGGCTGCTGCCCTTCGGGGCGCCCTGACAGACCACACACACACACACACACAGAGAGAGAGAGAGAGAGAACACACAAAAGTGGTGGTCGTGGTGATGGTGTGAGAGGGTGTGTGTGTATGGGTACCTGTGTTGACGCAGGGTGCGGAGGACCGCCCATCATCATGTTGGTGTGGGGGCGATATGCACCAGGGTGATGCCCATGGTGGTGCCCCGGGTGACTCGGCGGCGGGTGGCTGGGCGGTGGCGGGTGCGCCGGTGGGTGGGGGTGGGGCGGGGGCGCCACGGCCGAACGTGACCGAAAGTGCTGCGCGAGGCCGTGCAGCATCTCATACTCGAGCGTGTCCTGCGGGCCGTCCCCCGAGCCGTCGACGCCCACAGCCGCGGCCGATGACGACTGTCCTCCCCCACAGATGAGCGACAGGAGATAGTGAGGGTCCCTTTGGCGCTCTCGCTCCTCCTCGGCGTCCTTCTGCCGCTGGGCTGTCAGCTCGTGCTCACGCGCACTTTCGAAGTGCAGGTCGCGATTCACCTCAGCCGTGCGCGCCTTCTCGGCCTCGATCAGCCGGTCCAGCTCTTCTTGCTCGGCCTGCATGCGCGCCTCCTCCTGCCTGACCGCCTCAATCTCCTTATCGATACCGTCGACCGCCACGGCGATGTCGCCCCCGGCCCGCTCCTCCCTCTCGATGTCGGCACGCAGCCGCGCCAGCTCGGCCGCGTCGTCCAGCTCGCGCACCTCCCTCGCCAGCTCAGTACTGAGGGCCTCTTGCCGCCATCTTGTCAGATCGTCATGGTCGTGCAGATTCCGGTTCTCGTGCGCGTGGGTGAGCAGCGCCAGCTCAACCTCCATTGCCGCGACCTCGGCCGTCACAACAGCCAGCCGCGCGCTGTTGCTCTCGTACTCGGCGGCGGGAGGGATGGCTGGCTCGGGCGACGGAAAGCCTTCACAGCCCTCCCTCTCTGCTGTGGCTGCTGCCGCCGCCTCGTCCTCGACGTCGTCGAGCTGCTGCATCTCCTCGGGGTCCACCTGCGCCTCGATCTCCTCCTGCAGGCCAGCATAATCCTCCTCCTCCTCCTCCTCCTCGTCGCCTTGGTATGCCTCCTCTTCCTCGTCAAAGCGGCCCGCACCCTCGC